TCTTGAAGGGAAATGAGAACAGGAACTCAAGGCAGGAATTGAAGCAGACACCACGGAGGAACACTGCTTGCTGACTTGCTCCTCGCGGCTTACTCAGCCTGCTTTCTTATACAACCCAGGACCACCTGTATTTAGGGGTTGCACAGCCTGCAGTGGACTGGACCCTCACACATCAGTCATTAACCAAGAAAACGCTGGGCAGACAAGCCTATTATAGGCCAGCCTTATGGTGGTATTTTCTCGATTGAGAGTCCTTTCCAAATGGTTCTAGCTTGTGTCAATCAAGTTGATAAAAAGCCAAACAGGACAACAAGCCTGAGGACTGGAGTTTAGGTCTCTAGCACTCGCATGAAAAGAAGTGCTGCATGCAACCCTAGCATTTTGGAGTAGTGGCAGACAGGTGAATCCCAGATTCAGTGAGAGACATGGTCTCAAAATACAGTGTGGGAGCTGGTGGTGCTGGTGGCGCACACCTTTAATCCCAGCACTTGGGAGGCAGAAGCAGATGGATCTCTGTGAGTTCGAGCCAGCCTGGTCTACAGAGCAAATTCCCGTCAGCCAAGGTTATACAGAGAAACCCTATCTTGAAAAAAAAAAACCTAAATAAATAAAATAAAACACAAAAACAGAGTGGAGAAGCAGTTGGGGAAGATAGGCCAATGTCAATCTCTTAGCCTCCCATGTGCATATGCAAGGGTACACACATAATTGTATACACACACACACATCATGTAGTACAAAAACGTCTTGAACCAGGTGTTGACATACCTAAGTTTTAATCTAGCTCAGTGACAATAAGAATCAAAAGTCCCTTATGTAATTTTAACTTCTCAAGTAACCCCATTAAAAACGAGAGGTCTCGATCTTAATGGTGTGCTTTACCTAGCATTCAAACTATCATTTCAATACATAATGATGCTGTGGGATGCCGGGTCATATTTAATTTTTCCGCGTGTATTTTATATCTGGTGTCTAGGAACTGTCCTATTGGTCAGGATAAGTCTAGGTTGGTCAGTGTAAGGTCCAGGGTAAGCCTGACATCTCTAGTCCTCACTTTCCAGTCCCCGGGGGTAGTAAGCTACCACCGAATTCATCCTCTCTGAGATTTTCCATCGCTGGGGAGGCGATGCTGGGTGTCTGGCTCCACCCAGGGCTCCACTGGACTCACCCAGCGTTCTTGGACTCAACTGCAGCCGTTCCTGAGGGGTCTTCAGAGGCCGACGCAAGTGGTCCTGGGGCAGAAAGCTGAGTCCCAGGAGGAAATGTTTCCCGTTGCGTAGCAACCACTGGGCGTCCAAGAGCGCTCGCTACGCCAGGGAGGAGCCGGTCGCCACTGTCGTGCCGTGGCTCTCCTCAGCGCTCCTCCAGGAGCGCGCCAAGTAATTGGGCCAATCAGCGTTTCCGGAGCGTTGACGTCACTAGTTGGCAGGGAGCAGGAATCCACTCGGAGGATTGCTCCTCTGGGATGGGATTAAATCTCTGGCTGTGTAGACAGGAGGCATAGGAAGTCTGGTCGTTTTCTATGTTCTCTCGTTAGTGGACGGTCCTTGATCGTTGACCCAACCTCTTAACAGAAATCTGTTGTTTCTCAAGAGGCCCGAGTCTGACTTGACGTTCGCCCACAACTTTAAAATCCCGAGGTGAAAGAAACGAGCCTCAGGAGAAGGCTGGGTGGACTGTTGAAGCCCTTTCACAAGCCGTGAACCACTGTCTCGCCGGTTGGAAGAGACTTGTTTTCAACCTTCGCTACAAAAAATGTAATCACCGCTGGCAATACCTTCTTTTTCTCTTCCCTCCGCTACAGTCTTTGCATCTTGGGTGGCGACTCCCTAAATGAAACTGAGCGGACAGCGGCACGTACCGCATATGGCGTGCTGGTTTGATCCCACCTACCCCCAAGAGGATTATCTGGAGCTGGAGTGTAGATTCAGATCACTCAATCTAACCCACCTCCCCTAGCACAGCATCTGAGTATGGAGCTGGCTTTAGTCTCTTGCCTCGCCAAGTTTTCAGGAAACGTGTGTTTGGGGGGAGGGGGGCTAGTGGGGGATGTCCAACAGCGTGTATGTGGAGAAGAGAGGACAGTTTACAAAAGTTCAGCTCTCTCCTACCACTGTGTGGATTACAGGGATGAAAGTCGGGTCACCAGGCTTGGCAGCAGGTGCCTTTATCCACTGAGCGACCTCACTGGCCCTAGGGAGTATTTAAAAAGTATATATTTTTAAAGTTGGCAACCTGGCTTTTTAGAAGTTCATAAAATGAACACGTGTTTTATGAATGCCTTCTAATTTAGCAGCAAAGGTATTAACGAAGGCCTGATGTTAGGAAAAAAAAAATAAACAAGAAAAGACTCTTCGGCACGCTAAGGCGTCTAAGCAACATGGTGCTTGGCGTGAGAACTTCAGCCCTGGACCCAAGGCAGATCTCTGGAATGTCCCTGAGCCTCTGACTCTCGGCCCATCTCCTCCCCCACTCTTCGGCATTTTGCACCTGCATAGGGTGCCTTCCCTTCCCAGGCCTTCAGTTCTCCAGCAGGAACAGGCTATACAGCATGTGCTCAAGAGGCTTCCGGGCAGGTAGGATTTTGTGCTCAATCCAGTGTTGGGACTTTAGTGCTTCATTCTGCCTTTCCTGGAGTCTCGTAGAGTGTGGCACACACACACACACACACACACACACACACACACACACACACGGAGAGGGGGGGGGAGGGAGAGCAGCCGCTTGTGTCAGAAGGCTGAGGTGCCACACTCCGCTTTCGCTGCTCACAACAGAAATTTGCACTCTGCCCCATTTGGCAACTTGTCTGGACATCAGCTGGCCTCGAGGCTCTCAGCCTGGATTCTCCAGGGCACCCTGGCCTGCTGTTTATTTACAGCTTGTTCAAAACAGTTTGCCACTCTGTATAAAGTGCTGGCATTTGTTTAAGTTGGCTTTTTTTTTTTTTTGGTGGTGGTGGGGGGGAGGGATAGCTTGTTTTGCTGTTGTTTCTATTTCTAGAATTTTAAATTTTTAAAATTAAAAATACTGATTCTCCACTTTAAACGACTTCTTTTGTAAGCATATGGTCTTGTCTTTGCAGATAATATGCTGAGTCAGGAGGCAGAGGCAGCAATTTCAAGAGTTGAAGGTCATTGTTGATTATATGGAGACATTCATTAACCTGGGATCCCTTCAACTCTGTCCCAAACTTAGTCAATAAGATAAGATATACAATAGAGTTCAATACTTAGAATGTAAGAGATAATGCAAAATATCTCACTATTTTATATTGATTACATGCTACAGTGATAATATTTTAGGTAAATTGTGTTAAATAAAATATATAATTAAAATAAAGAACATAGTGTGTTAACATCAATGGATTTTTTCTTTTAAAAATTACATAGACAAAGAGGGGTATGGGGAGATGGCTCAGTGGTTAAGAGCACTGGCTGCTCTTCCAGAGGTCCTGAGTTCAATTTCCAGCAACCACATGGTAGCTCACAACCATCCCTAGTGGGATCTGTTGCCCTCCTCTGACATGCAGGTGCATATGCAGAACATTTATACATAAAATATAAACTTAAAAGTTACATATACATTTTATTGATTTATTTGTGTGTGTGTGTTTGTCATGCCACACATGTAAAAGTTAGAGGACAACATTTTAAAATTGGTTCTCTCCTTTCACTGTGTGGATCCTGGGGACCGAGCTACAGGTTGCCAGACTTAGTGGCAAGCACTTTTATCCTCTGAGATAACTAACCATACCTACTAATGGTTCTAAAATTTATGAAATTATGCTGTTTGGATGCAATGAAAAGCAGAATTGCCTATATTGACATTATTTTGAAGTACATCAAGTATTCTTTTTAATTTTTAACTTTTATTTTATGTGTATGACTGCTTTGCTGCCATGTATGACTATGCACCACATGGGTGCCCACAAGGGTCAGAAGAGTGCATCAGATCCCCTGGATCTGGAGTTAGAGTTGGTGATGAGCTGCCCCGTGGATGCTGGGCATCAAACCTGGATCCTCTGGAAGAACGGCCACGTAACCACTGAGCCATCTCTCCAGCTCCTGTATTCATATTTTTATAATGTGACAAAATTAATTTTTGGAGGTACATCAAGTCTAAAAATACATAAACTGCATTGGTTTCTCGGGCTTTGGAGATAAAATGGTACTGGCTTTCTCTGAGAATCTGAGGGGACGGGGGTATCCTGTGGCTAGCCGGTTTTCGAGGTATATTTTTTGCCATTCACTTCCCAGCCCCCTCACTGGCTGCAATATCTTCATCTTCAAATCCTTTTGGGGGGGGTGGAGGTGGGGTATGTTTATTATAAAAGGAAAAAACAAAACTCCATAGGATTCCCAAGGAGGGAAGGAAAATTCTGCTGGGAGAGAAGACACTAGGATACAACATGACAAATGTTTTAACTCCAGGCCTGTCCTCAGTTTCTCCCATAGCAAACTGGAAGGAGACACTGACACAAACAGGCAGTTCTGCAAAGTTAGAAACCCTACCCTACAGAGTTGATTAGAAGCTGAACTTGTTTTGCTTTACAAAATTTAATATATCAAAAGGCCTGCTTTAGTGACATGCCAGTCCCACCAAGAAATAATCCCCACCCCCCCCCCCCCCACCCCCCGTCAGTAACAATGTTCAAGTTGACCAGCCAACTCATACCTCTAACTAGTGTGTGGATATATATGCATCTTAGCCTAAGCATGAGGTCAGGTGGTGGCAAGCACTGGCATCCCACCTGCTACCTGTCCAGCATCTGCTCCTGCAGAGTGGGCAGGGAAACCCTATGTAGTAATGAAGAAGCCGAGCCCCAGAGATGTCAGGAGCCATTTCCCCTCTAACAATCATTACAGGAACCATCACCCTGGGGAGTCTGCAGAATGCCCCTCACCTAATTAGCAGCAATCTCTTAGTGGAACCCGCCTCACATTCCAGCTATCCAGGGAACCAGGTGTGGCCACTTGACTTCCTAGCCTACCTCCTGGCCTACGTGACCTGGAACACGAGGCGCAAGAATCCAGTTACCCTGCCCCCCATTCCTTACCATATATAAACTGTAACCCGTCCCTAATAAACGGAGGCTTTGACAAATCTGCTTGGCCTTCTTCTTCTGTCTTAGCTCATTCCCTTCCAGGTAGCGCCCCTCCGAGACCCTGGAGTAACCGATTGCCGGGTGGGTTACAACCCCTAGACTGAGTAACCCAGACCCCCAAACGCAATCCACACAGAGAAGCAGCATTCCCCATCCCTGCTGGTACTTCATCCCCATCCCTGCTCAAGAGATCCTTCCTTCCAACCAAGCTCTTCACTTAAACTTGGCAAACCCAGGGATGAGGGTGGTTTTCTCAATTAGAAAGACACATATATCCACACATCCATATATATAACTTTTTTTGTTTTTACATTTAAATATAAAAATACTACTCTGCTATTTGTTATAAATGGAGGACCAAGAACTAAGAACCTTTTCTTCTGTTACAGCAGGGCTGTCCTGTCCATCAGGCGACACACTGAGCTGTCTTCATGGAGGGCATAAACTCCCCCAAGCAAGGGAAACAGGGTACAAAGGAGCACCCTCCAACTGCTCCTCACCTAACTTCCAGTGGGAACAGAAAGTCAGTTTTACCGGAAGAACTAACAGCTCTCCACCAACAGGGAATCGTCAACCCAAGCAGTGGACCCGTGCTTTCAACTATCCTGAAGAAAAATTCCTCCTCTCACAAATATACCCGCTCTGTGACAGCTATGCCTACTGGACATGCATTCCTGATGAGATGAAGCAGTGGTTACCTTCCCTTCCCCTCCCCCTCCCCCACTAAAAAGCTAGATAGAAAAAAAAAGATGAGGGATGGGTGTGTAGAGATTAAGGATTTGACCCCTCTATTCTGACCAATGAAAGCAAGATTAACTGGGCATGAGGAATAAAAAGACCTTGATATTCCATCCTTTGAGTTACAGTGGGGGCAGAGCTGGGACAGGAAAGAGTTGGGGTGGGATGATTAGGAAGGGCTCAGGATCACTCAAAGCCTAGTCCACTTAGTTCTTGTATTGGAACGGCTCATCGCCAGTCTCGTTGAGAACGCAAGTGCGGACAATGGCCTCTGTCACGGCCAAGGGGTCACAGTTGGCAGAAGGGCGACGGTCTTCAAAGTAGCCCCTCTTCTGGCCAACAGTCCAGGGAATGCGGATGCTGGCACTGCGGTTGGCAACGCCAGCAGAAAAGTCGTTGATGTTGGAGGTTTCATGGATTCCAGTCAGGCGCCGGGCATTGTCCAGGCCCCCCTTGGGATCGTAGGTGCGAATGTGGTACTGGTGCCGCTTGCTTAGTTTCTCAATGGGCTCCTCGATGTACTTCAGACCTTTCTCCTCCCGCATGGCCTAGTGCTAAAGTTAGTATGGCAGCCGGCACCGTTCCAGTTCCCAGGAATGGGCTTGGGATCAAAGGTTGCTATCACCCCGAAGTCTTCACACACACGATGCAAGATGAAACGGGTCACCCAGAGATGATCTCCCATGCGGATTCCTTCACGGGGTCCTATTTGGAATTCCCACTGGGCAGGCATGACCTCGGCATTTGTTCCTGTAATCTTGACTCCAGCATACAAGCAGGCCCGGTAGTGAGCCTCCACGATGTCCCTGGCATAGGCTTTGTCTGCTCCCACACCACAGTAGTATGGATCTTGGGGCCCAGGGAAGCCATTGGAAGGCCAACCAAAAGGGTGTCCATCTGTTCCCATGAGAGTATAATCCTGTTCCATTCCAAACCAGGGGTGCTGATTGATCAACATGTCCATTATCCATTTACAGTTGTGTCTTAGATTGGACTCTGCAGGCTTCCGGTTATATTTGAAAACTTCAAAGAACACCAACTTGTTGGGCTCTTTGCAAAAGGGGTCCCAGAACATGGCGACCGGCCTGAGATACATGTCACTGTTGGAGCCCTCAGACTGAAAGGTACTAGAGACGTCGGAATTCCACTCGGGTAATTCTACACACTTGGGCTCGCAGTCCAGGGTGCGGGTCTTGCAGCGCAGCCCTTCGCCGGTCCCATCAACCCAGATATATATGGCCTGGACTTTCTCACCCTGGGGCAGGGACATGCACATTTGCTTGATGCTTTTGTTCAGGTGGGAACTTGCTGAGGTGGCCATGGTGGAAGGTGTTCTTAGTGGTGGCTGGCGGGATGATGGATGGGATGGACAGACCACGAGAGCGAGGCGAAGAGAGCGGAGAGGAGATGGGTGTGGGGCTCAGTCGGTGCGCTCCACTCCCATTCTCGGCTCTGCCTTCAAATCCTTTTTATGGCTTTTAAGAAATCAGGCACATGTGGCTGTGTCTTCTTAATCATGGTTGAGCCAGAAAAAAATACATCTATGTATGTATTGGTGGGCACCGTGGGCAAACCTGTGGCTGCCAGAGTCCTGAAAGAGGCTACGGAGCAGCTGCAGCAACAGCTGCCGTCTGTGTAAGTGTTTCCTACATTTTCTTTCAGCTTTTAAAACTATATAAAATAAATATGAAATATGTGTGAGACCTTATTTCTCAGACCTAAGGGCAGCCTGCTACCTGTTGGTCAACATTTCCTCATGTCTACCTACCCATCTCCCCCTCAAAAAAAAAAAACACTAGCTGGTTTTTTTTTTTTTGAGTTGCTAAATGAGATTTTTAGAAAATACCCAGGGTGTCCTAGCTAGTTTTAACTGTCAACTTGGCACAACCACCTGACACAGTCATCTGAGAAGAGAGTCTTAGTTGAGGAACTACCCAGATCGATTGTCAGTAGAGAGAATGTCTTGAGTGTTAATTGATGCAACAGGGCCCAGGATGGTGGGCGACGCCATCCCCTGTACAGGTGGTCCCAGGCTATGTAAGCAAGCCAGAGAATCGTGAATCTAAGCAGGCCAGCAGGAAGTGCTCCTCCATGGTTTCTGCTTCAAGGGATTCTAGGCATTGAACTCAGGTCCTTCCTCACGCTTACAGGGTAAGCACATTGCCAACTGAGATAATATGCCAGCCTCCTCCTCTGGTGATCCCCTGCCTCCTGAAAAACATAATCACTGTACTGGGTAGTTCTATGTCAACTTGACACAATCTACAGTCATCTGAGAGGAGGGAAATGCTACTGAGAAAATGCTTACGTAAGATCCAGCTCTAGGGCATTTTCTTAATTAGTGATTGATACGCGAGGGTCCAGTCCATTGTGGGTGGGGTCATCCCAGGCTGGTGATCCTGGGTTCTATAAGGAAACAGGCTGAGCAAGCCAGGGTTAGCAAGCCAGGAAGCAGCACTCCTCCATGGCCTCTGCACCAGCTCCTGCCTCCAGGTTCCTTCCCTTCTTGAGTGCCTGTCCTGGCTTCCTCCAGTGATGAACAGTAATAGGGAAACATGAGCCAAATAAGTTGCTTTTGGTCATGGTGTGGTCATGGTGTTTCAACCCAGCAACAGCAATGGTAACTAAGACATTTTATGTAAATTGCTCCCTGGCCTGATTATTTAATTCTCTATAACTTTATGATCACTTTTTTTCTTACCCACAGATGTGGTTCTTAAGCAGAATCACCCACAGAGACATTGCAGATCTGCTGCTCCGGACGCCACTTTCAGATTCTATCTACTAGGTTTGCAGAAGCCTGGAGATCTGTATGCTTGTCTGTGGCTGAAAGTAGAACACTAAACTATGAGTTCTGTCAATTGTATTGTTGTAATACGTATGACTGGGGACAGAGATGGCTCAAAGGTTAGGAGTGCCATCTTGGTGTGGAATTTCCTCTCTTGGGGTGAAAACGTCTTAGAAGTAGGCAGTGGTGGTGGCCGTGCAAGTGAAAATAAACTTAAAATAGCCCTGCTTGTGAAAAACCAAACCAAACCAGTAGCTGGGCAGGTGCTGTGTTCTGACTGGGTCCCTGCAGACTGAATGTGCTTGCTCTCACTTGTGCCTTCTGCTCCCCACATCTCTTTAGACTTGAATCTCTGGGCTCTAGTCACTCTCTGTTGCTGTGAGAAAACACTCTGACCCAAAGCTGCTTTGGGAGAGAAGGTGAATCCCTTGTAATCCTTGTGTTGGGGAGGCAGAGGCAGGAAGATCCCTGGGATTCTCTGGCCAGTCAGCCTAGCTTAACCAGTGAGCCAATGAGAGAGAGATCATTCCTCCAAGGGGGACAGTGCCTGAAAAATAAAACACCCATGGTACGTGTGTCTGTATGTGCGCGCACACACACACTCACTCACACACACACACTCGTGTGCTCACACACAAATAAGACTTTACTTTTGTAAGTACTGATGACATATAAACTCAGGAAGTATATGGAAGAAAGCCTTGAATGTTCCTGATATATATCTATATGATAGCCTTTGTTGTTAAGTATTTTAAAACAAAGACCTTTCCTCAGCTGCCACCAAGGTGCTCGATTGGTCATTTCTGAGGAAGCTAAGGCCACGTTGGGGTGAAGTCTTCATCCTGTGACCGGCAACTGTGAGGGCAGTTGGTCACATGGCCTTCATCTTTGAATTCTCTGCATTCCCCCTTATCCTGCACGACCACGGCGAGGACAAGGTGATGTCTCAGAGGAGAAGATCAATGCCCTCATCAGAGTAGCTGGTGTCAATGCTGAACTTTATGACCTGACTTGTTTGCCAAGGCCTTGGCCAATGTCAACATTGGGAGCTTCATCTGCTGTGTAGTGGCTGATGGGCCCGCTCCAGCAGCTGAAGCTGTGCCAGAAGGCAGCCTGCCTGCTCCACCGCTGTTGCCCCAGCTGAGGAGAAGGTGGGAGCAAAGAAGGAAGACTCCGAGGAGTCTGAAGATGACACTGTCTTTAGTCTTTTGGACTAAACCTTCTAACACGTCCAATAAAAGCTGAACCTGTTGCTGGACTGACCTCGGTTGTATGCCACAAGCACAGGTTCTTGAGGTTTCAAACATAAAATAAGAAAAAGACCTTATGCTATTTTAACAACCAGAAAAGTAACTAGGTGTAAAATTGGCACAAGAAAGTACAGACTTTGGCAGAGGCCAGGGTGGAATGGATTAGGAACAACATAATTAAACCTTCAGTGAAAAGAAAGGTATCAGGCCCAGGAGATGGTCCGCCAAGCCTGACGACCCAAACCCACTCAGGGGAAGGAGAGAACCAACTTCTACAAGTTATCCTCCCCACACACATATGCGAAATAAATAAAATTTGAAAACTTTTAAAAGGATGTCTCTGTTCTATGAAGATAAAAGGAAAACAGCAGGTTAACTGAGCAAATTGGAAGATTTAGGGCCAGAGTCTATTCTCCTGATGAAGCAGAGGCTACGGTCAGTTGTTGAGAAGAATGGAACAAAGGTGTCGTATAAAGACAAGAGAGTGAACTGCTTAAAATTGTGTTCCTATTTACATATATATATATGTATATATATTTGATCAATTCTCAAAGGAGTCTTTGATCTGTTCTTCCTCAGAACTGGAAACGTGGCCTCTAAAATTAGCTGCCCTTAGCTTTGACTAAGGGAAGGTGGGAAGGTGGCTGGCTCAACTTTGCAAGGGGTTTGTGATGAGTATTTTGTTCCTTTGGCGACATCTTGTGGTCAAACAATATATTACTAGATGAGTTTGGAATTGTGGATCTGATTGGTAGATTTTGTAAAAGACTTGAGAGGTTAGTGTCTCAGAACTTATGAAAACCAATAGTTATTACTGTATTTCCCATACGGTGTTTAGACATTGTTTATATATAAAACTTATAATCCACGGTCAGTCTTGGGTAATTGTATTCTGGGAATTTTTTTGGAAAAGAAACAAAAAAAAGATTCCCTGTTCCTCAGGTGATTCCAATGTGCAGTCAAGTCCCAGTACCTCTAGCTTAGGTCCTTGCTCTTCACGGTGTGATTTGTGGGCCAGGAGCATTGTCGTCATCTGGATCTTGTTAGATACACAGACTCGAACGTCCTGCCCCCAACCTCCTGAATCAGCCAGTGTTATATTTCGCAAGCAGCTCACTGAATGTTAAGTTTTAAGGAGGGCTGTCACGAAAACAAGAAGGGTATACAGCATACACAAGGTAGCAATGGTGCCCCGCGGGTGGGCTTCTCCTTTCTTATGACTCCCAGCTACAGGATGTGAGTTACTTTATGACCCCACTGGAAGACTTTTACCGTAAGAAATTCCATCTTCAGCAGAGCCATCAACTCTCTCTGTTCTGCAGTGCTCCCACGGTCTCTGCTAAAGCACTTGAGGACAGTATTGTTCTTCCCTTGTCTTTCTTCTTTGAGTTCCTCTCCCTCCTAAGCATCCTGTATGTTGTCTATATACAATACTTTTGCAGATCTTTTTCTAGAAATTTCACAATAAACATAGCCGTCAGAACTGGGGGTGATCTGGGAGGCCCTAGCAAGCTAGACTTGACCATTCATCGTCTGTAGGTCAGTTAAATGGATGAGAGAAAGTAAACCATAGAAGGTGAGATTTAGTCAACGTGACTACTTCTGGAAGAAGAAAGAAGTCCTGGATTCCACAAGTCCATATTCCGGGTCTCAACATGAGACTTGACTTTTGATAGGAGGCAGCTAACTAAGATAACTCAGCAGTCCTGGTCAAGGTTCAGTCCCACCCCAACCATCTGGGCTCCGGTCTCTCTAGCATGGCACTCTAAGTCAGAATCCTACAAAGTGTCTTTCTGGAAGACAGTCACCCTCTCTGGCTGGCACGGGCTTCAGCCTTCTCCTTCTCCCCGCACTAGATTCCAGGGGAAATTTTGGTTTCCTGGGGGCTTCTTGTCTCAATGCAAAGAAGGGTGGAGGCAAGTGTCTGTCCAGAATATTCCTGTCCCTGCTGGCATGGTTACACATAGAACAACTTTCTTCTGTTGAGGGCCTCTCTTGCTCCACTCAGAATTCTATTTGTCAACCGTGTTCATAGTGAAAGAAAACCCCTTCTTTCTCACCATGGGAAAAGCAAACAGCCACGTAGACCTAGGAGGTTGCCAAGTTTTGTGGGCAATAAAGGGCAAACGAGTTAACTATTAACCAGCAGACAGCATAATTTCCCTCAATACCTTGACCTCGGCACCTCTCTTCTCTGGCGGCTCTCTTTCTGACATTTCTGCCCAGGATAGTTAGGCAGTGAAGGCAGGAAGCCGGTCTCCTTCCTCTCTCTCTAAGGGGATCCAGGCAGCAGCAGTTGAAATAAACACGGGGCCATTTGAAGTCACAGTCAGTGGATCTGGGGTGCTTAAAGTGGATCTGGGGTGCTTAAAGCTGTA